CCCGCTCCGAGCTGGCGGGGCGGGGGGTACGAGCAGCGCCGCTTAACCGCCCTTCATTCATCGCCTGTAAATTACCGAGGGGTTTGTGCAGTGGGCGTGTTTGGGTTTTATCCGCGGAGAGCCTTCCGCAGGCGGCAGGTTGGGGTTGGTTTTTCTTGCACTGTGTGGCATAAAGACTATATTTAGAGAAGTGCGTGCTGAGGAAGGCACAATGTTGTGAAAATCCCCTCCAAGACTCAGAGCGGACTCATTTCCTCCTCCTCCTTTGCTCAGTGTCTTTGCCTCACTTCATCCTTCAGGTGTTTTTGTAGCAGCTCCTGCAGCCAAATCTCTCCTTCGGATCCGTCTTGCTGCAGGTTTTAGAAAAGCCTTTTCTTTGGCCTTTAAGAAACATTCCATCCACAAACAGGTGGCTGTTCTGTTAATGGAGGTATGCTAAGGAAAGCAGGTATTTCTGATCTGATACGTGCACCTAGTGTCTCGTGTCTTCATCTACACCAAGCTCAGTGACCCCATCCTGGCCTCCATGTAGCCTGTGACAGGCTCCTTCCAGAGCTCATCTGCCACTACTGGGCTTAATGATGGTACCTGCTGGAGCTACTTTAGTTGCCAGTGGTCTGTGCAGACCAGGTCTTCAGCTCATGTATTATTGTCTTTGTTCTGAATAAGACCATTAATTTGGGTCTGTCTAGTCTTTGGTTTCTTAAAACTGGAAATATTTTAGACCTCTCTTCGTTTGCAGCGTTTGGATTAAACTTGCAAATGTGCTTAACTTGCATAGTAGGGACAAATGCTATGGTTGCATAGCCTTGCTTGGTAAAGCATGAGGATAAAAAGCACAGGATCTAAAGCAAAATAGTTTTTACATTTTCCTGTGTACTTCAGTTGGTCATCCACCTCCTATGGAATTTCTGTCCAGACATTTTACATACTAGAGGGTAAAGCGCTCTAGTCGTATTTCATATGGTACCAAGTTTAACGTGGAAGCATTAGCCTGTGGCTTTACTTTCACCTACAAGTAGGTTCCTGTTGCTGAGATGTCCTTGTACTTCCTTTCATATAGTGGTTATGGGAAAGCTTCTCTTGAAGCATTTCTTGCTGTTAAGTGTAGAGAATCAAGTTGTCTTCAGTGTACAGCTAAAAGCAAGAGAAACAAAGTGGTGAGTTTGGTCACCTTTCCCGTACTGCTTGTGTACAGGCAGGACTGGGACAGTTAATCAGTTAGTGAGCAGTCTCCTTAGCGTTGCACATCCCTAGAGGTGCCTTTGACTGCTTGTAGTGATAGCTGCAGTATTTGTTCTCAGAAGAATCTGTTTTGTGTGATCAGTAACCTGCATCAGTCTGAAGATGCATTTAAAAAAAAAAGAAACTGTGAATGCACCATGTCTAATTGTAGCAGTTGCAGAAACACCTTAGAATTTGTCCTTTTGGAGAAGCTTCCAGGTATAAGGTAATTCTCCATATTTGCGAGAATTCTAGAATTTTTATTCTGGATTGGTGCTTTTTTAAATCTAGCTTTCCCCTGAAAATGCCTCCACGTGAGGAACTGCAGCAGTAAAACTCAGTGTCACCAGGCAGACAAAGCCCAACTTGCCTAACTATGTGTGTGGCAGTATTAAGTTAGGCTCTTGCCATATGGTTGGGAATACAAAGTGTACAAGAACACACTGAATAGCTATTTCGGAATTACATTTTCCAAATAGGAAATGAGAGTGAAGGAATTCTTACTGCCCATCTCAAAATTGTTTAGCTGACGTGTAAAAATTTCTGTATTTACCTTCTGCTGTGACTCTGGTCCAGGATTTTTGCCTCAGATGTTCTGAGCTCATCACAGCCCCTCAGTAAATATGTTGGGTGAAGGTTCAGGAGACTCTGTTGTGGACAGAGATAATTTCTTAGCAGAATGATTGCTGCAGAGTGTTCTTCCTTCTCTGTGCCGCGTCCTTCGCAGTCAGTTTGGGAACATGACGCGTTTTGCTTCCTGAGGTTTGCTGCTCTCTGTGCTCCCTGCGTCCATGCTTCTCCTTGGGAAACTTCAGAAGCTGGTCCCAAGGCTGCTGGTTTCCAAGAAATGAGGCCAGATGCCACCCTTGGGCGTGCAGTGAGTCCCTGGTAGTGCTACTACCCAGGATGATGCTCAGCTTATCCTGAAGGCTGTGAGTTGAAGTGGGCATGAATCCGGTATCGGTCACGCTGGACAGATGCACAGAGGGCAGGGTGGGAGTCAAGGCTCACGTGAAAGCAGAAGTGCACAGGAAAGATTTGGCTCACCTGATGCTGTAAGCTGTTGGCTAACCCAGGTAGGGTAGGTGATGGTGGTGGGGATTGTGTTACACTGCGGGGGCTCCAGCTCAGGTGACCCTAGAGCTGGCTTGTGGGGTGGCCATGAGGGAGCAGCATGAGGGAGCCTGTACAAGCAGAGGAACACAGTGCTGCTGCTGTTGTCTGTCATGGATCTTCAGATGTCCAGACACTGTCTGCCTCTGAAATATAGAAATGCAATTTTAAGGCTCTGTTGGAGGCTTAGATTTCAGAAGCTGTACCTGGGCTTATTTGCCTACCAGTTGTGGGCACAAGAGATGTTTCCAAGTTTCTGGACAGTAACTGATGTCTCTACTTGGAAGTTTCAGATTTCGATATGGGACAAATAATGATCATCAGGCACTTAAGCAGTTGTACCTGATCACCAAGACAGGAGAGCAGACCTGAACTCAGCTGTTGCAATCAATGTGTTTGTGTATTAAGGTGGAAAATACACCTTAATATGTAAATCACTCAATGCAGAAGTGACAATGCATGTGTGCCCAAAGGCACACATCCTTGTTAAATGGGATTTTTTCCATATTTAAGGAGCTTGAAGATTAATCATTGGCATGCACCAGTAGATGTTAAAATATGATACAGGTCATAGCATGTATCATCTCTATGATATACTATATAAATCACAGTGTACTCCAAGAAGCAGAATGTCTTGGTACCAAAGCTGGCTGGCTAGCTGATGCTTCTAATAGGCAATAAGAGGCCCTGAGCAGTTAAATGTGGCCTAAATATTTCTGTGGCCTTTCTTCTGGACACACGGCATGAGTTGCTCTATACAAACACTATTAAATGTTGCAAAGTCAAAGCTGCAAGGTCATGATTCCCGAATTCTTTGTGCAAACAGAGAGGGGAGAGGTGAAGAAGCAGTCCAGACAGCAGTACAGAACAGGTAGGAGAGAGATTGAGAGCAAGGGCAAACACTCTTGAAAGAAGAGTGTGTAGTAGATCTGTGGAAGATTAAATCTTTCATTGCATTTCTCCATACATGTTGTGCATGCTTGTTCCAGGTGGTTGTTTTTAGTATCTTGTGGAAGATACTTACATGCTTACAAATCAGCCTTTTAAATCTGTTTATGACTGTACCCAAACACATCTGAGTATCATAATTAGTATTCTAATTCTGAACTATTCTGAAAATTGTAATTAAGTGCTCTGAATGCTGTTGTGCAGGGCAGTTTTTTGGCGTCTTTAGTTCAGAGAGGAGATTACAGACCTATAAAAATGAGAAATTTCTAATATCAGGAAAGAAAAATGCCCTAAAAGGACTCAGCAGTTTAAAAGTGTTGCATCAATAAATTCTGTGCATCAGATCACACAAGGAATAATTTTGTTTGCCTTCATGAGGTTTAAAGAGACTGTTGGATTTCTAACCCTTGCAGTTACAAGCTTAAAGTTAAATAAAAATACTTGTCATTTTCCTTAGCCCCTGCAAACAGTTTGCTTACCACAAGTGACAGCAATTTGAATTTTCTTTGACCTAATTATTGGGATTGGTATCTAAATGCAACTGGTTACAAAAGTGAATGATCCAGTCAACTAGTACTGAAGGCTACTGTATGTCCTGACTCTTTATTTCACTCTCAGCAGGCCCATGCAGAGCAAACATTGCTGTCATCCTTATGTAAACTGAGAGAACTTAATATCCCAGTAGTAGATAGAGCTAGTTTCCTGAGTCCTGTTTGGTAGTGCAGTTGAGATGCAGCTGCTTCTCACTGCTGGAAGGTATTTAGGGAAGTTCAACAGTTTAACTGCCCAAAAGTACTTCATATGCAGTTTTAATTACCTTTGAAAATGTCTTGTCGGATGAAAAGTTACGTTTGCCTTGGTCTTAATTGGAGAAAAATGATTCCGTGTTGGATGTTTGTAGCAAGTTTTGGTGCTTTTGGACCACTGCAACAAATTAGCAGGGGTGGTCATATCAGAAATGTGAAGATCATGTAACTTTCCTGAAAACTAGTAACTGGGTAGAGAAAAGGTAATCTGTTATCAGGATATTCCCTCCCCTAAAAGGGGCACAGTGTGCACCCATGTTCAACACAGCGCACCAACAACATACTGAGCAGGGCTGGCCAGGAAGGAAGGAAGGAGTGTCTCCTAGCAAGGTAGGAGAGCTTCACTGGAGCTCATATGTTCTCGTGCACCAAAGCAAAACCCACAAAACTGTGAGGGGTGAGGGTATGTGTGTGGAAGAACACACTGCTCTTTTACATTAAATGGTTAAACATACTTTTTTGTATCACTTTTGATTTACCTTTCCTAAGTACTAGTGTTTCAGGTTCGTGATTTTCATAGCACCACCTCAAGGTAGGCTTTTGGAAACTAGCCAGGTGTTTCATTCTTAGATTTCTGTTTTAGAGTTCCAACTGCCTGTGATCCACTAGAACTCCTATTTAGAAAGTGTTACTCAAATATTTTTTTAAAAAATAGGATTTTTACAGATGCAAGAAAAGTAGCAGAAGGAAAGAGTAATATGTAAGCTTAAAAGTTCAACTGAATTCTAATTTTAAAATGAAATCAGATAGTTCAGTAGAGTCTTTTTTTCTTCAAAAATTGTGTTTTAATTGTTTTCTTAAAAACAAAAAAAAGTTGAGTTATTCTAAAAAGCAGTCAGTATTAGGATATTTACCCTGTGTTCTCTTGTGGATCCAGTTATACAGTGGTACATTTAAAGGTAGTATCTTTAAATAGAAACTTATTTAATGAATGAAGTGATACTGTGAAGCTTTTCACTGTTCTGATGAATTCACACTACCCATCTCTGCTTATTTTGTAATGTGAATTATTTCAGTAGATATTCTTCTAGAAAGCACACAAAGTATTTAAAAACAGGTGGGACTGTAGTTGGTTCTACCTCACCCTGAAAAGAGTTTGCTGGGGGGGGGGGGGGGGGGGGGAAAAAATGCAGAATCATCTCAATCTGAATTTGAAGTATGCAGAATTCAAAACACAGGTTATAGTACACCACAATTACATAAAGTTAAAGGCACTTTTTTCAGAAACAAAATTTTTGAGCTAGTCCAGTAGAAATTGAGGTGGATATAAATGTTTTTCAAGTTATACAACTACAGTGTGCATTTGTTTATCTTTACCTTTGAAATTTGATATACTTGTGTCAATGTTAAGTAACTTCAGTTGCATCTACTTTATTAAAAAAGTTCTTTTTAGGTTGTCATTCTGTCATAAGAGGAGTCCGGAAAGTGATGGAAACAACTAAATGGGATGTAGTAATTCTTTTTGCCATAGCATTTGTGTATTCCAGCGTGCCATTCAAGTATACTCGGTCATATGTAGCAAATAGATGCAAAAGAAGAACATTTCGGTGTATTTATATTAAACTTCATGGACTCTCTCACCAAGCATCTGACACTCTATACAGCTGAAAAAAGCTGCTTTTTGGAAGTGCCTTCAATCCTGTTTTTGAGTACTTAGATAGTTGTGATTTATGGCATTTTGTTGGTGTTGTGCTGAATTAATGAGAACTGAATGATTGAATTGCCTGGATTGCACTGGATTTCTGGAAACCTGTTAGTGCAGAAAGTAGTTACTGCTCTGTTTATAGTCAACAATTCGCTCTACATTAGCCTTTGATTTAAAACCACCATGTGTATTCTTCAGTTGTGGTTAAAATGACAATAACACTTTAATGTGGTAGATGAAGAATTATAAAACAGTTTATGGCATTTTTACTTTTGTTCATGTACGGATCAAATTCCTGCCCCAAAGCAACGTTTCTGTAAAGCTTCAGGAACATTATGTTGCCAGTTTCACTTACCAAGTGAAGATATTACTGAAATCAGCTACTGCAGAAGTAATGGCATACAAAATGCTACAATATGCAAATCACTTCAGTTGTTGCTCTATAGCAGATACAAAGGCAGCATCTGAAAGGCTGCCATGACTATGTAATCAAAGTGACAGGTCTAAGTTGCTTAAGAAAACAGTGAGGAAAGTACATGCAAAAAAAATTTCCTGGCTAAAGCAGCCCACTGGGCTTCTACAGGGTGAGGGGTGATGTAGCAAACTGGTGGAAACCTAGAAAATGGCCAGGAACACAGTTAGAAACAATTCTGAGCAATCAACAAGAGGTTAGTACCTCAGTCAAGAGGAGACAGGCAAGAGTGCTGGTCAGGTAGGACCAGCCTACTGCCTTTCTTCTGTGGTAGGTACTGACCTACTGCCTAGGTTAACCTACCACAGTTTTTTATAAGCAAGCAGTTAATGGCCTGTATAATATCTAATAACTCAGACTGGGAAGGGGGAAGGAGCTGGGATTAATGTCTGCAGCTTGCAACTCAGCAGTGGTTTGTAATTGAAGACTTGATTCATGTTTAAAGCTTTATAGAGAATTTAAACCTGGGCCTAGGTAATGCTGGTTCTCAATAGCACTCTGTTTTGCAAAGCTGTGTCTTTCTCTGCTACTTTAGCTCAGGCAAATGTTCATTATTAAAGCCATCTTGTAAACAGTACATTGAGTTTGTGGATTACATTTTTTAACTGTTAAATTATCTGAAACCAATACATTTTGAGTTCATCCAGGACCTGAAGCTGCTCAGTGAAGCTGGTTCTTGGGTTCGTTTCAGAGCACTCCCGCTAATCGGAATTACCTGGACTGCAAGTCCCTGAAAGAGCTGAGTGTCCCAACACTGCAAGCATGATTCTGCTGAAGCTTGCCCTGTTGTTAGTAAAAGGTTAAACCAGAGGTTTATCAAACAAACTATCAATTAAATGAGCCTGGAATTTTTCAATAAAGACTGAAGTTTGACTGGTTTTTTCTCCAAGTCTTGTAACCCTACCATCTAATTTTTTTTCTCTAACAGAACCATGTAAGATCAGAGCTGATGCATTTAGTGTTTCTAGTGCAAAAGCAAGTGGACAACACACTTCCCCTATTAAGAAATTTGAGAAGTTTAAGTCAATCAACTTAAAAGAAGCTTAAGAAAATAGAGTTACAGAATCACAG